TAGGCCTTATCTTCAGAGTTATAAGTACCTTATTAGTATTTTAGCCTAAGGCGCAGTATGCACCTAGAAATCAAATGATGACATTTCGATCTGAAATGTTGGGAACAAATAGACCTGTTTGTAACTAAAATGCTCGAAAAACTTTAGCTCACAAGAATTCTGTTCGTCACCAGCTATTGAAATTTCAGAAAAATCACTCATATCCCAGAAAACACGCTCTATTTTCAAGTAAAGATATTTGTGCGCAACATTCCAGATCAAAATACCATCATATGATTCCTAGATGCGTACCGTGCCTTAGGGGCAAAATTCTAGAAAAAATAGCTATAAATCTGAAGGTAAGGCCTAAGGATAGTTATCCTTTGAGTTTTTTTCATATCTCGCTTATGCATAGAATCCGAAGTCAAAAACGATTAATTACTTCCAACAGTTCCTTCGTTAGACGGAGAAGACAACAGATGAACACTTTCATTGCTACTTATGACATCTTTTATTTTTCTCAATATTCTTACTTTCTATGTCTATATAATGATTTTAAGCTGCTGCTGCATCAATTTAGCTAAGAATTGAACCAAGCTCATCTCTGTTGGATAACTCTGTGTTGAATAAAAAGAATATAATAAACATAAATTTCTTATGTCATAGTAGTAGTCATCGACTATTTATCGTATTTTATTTCCTAATTTTTTAAATGTTGATATTTTCAAAAAACAATTCTCATTTAAACAGCAGATCAACTTTACAACGTTTTATTTTAAGATACTCATAGAAAATATTCATTTTAAAATTTTCTTCACATATTTGTTAGTTTTTTTCTTTTGCAAAAGTATTTTGGTTTTATGATTGTAATAGAAAATTGGACGAGATGACAGATGACATTGAACTTATTGGCACGGATAGATTTGATTTTAATTGAAGAAAAGTAACACTGTAGTAACATTTTTTTTTCTATTCATATAGTTGTTCTCTTAATAATGTGGCTAAAGAAAGAATAAAATTGGTATTAATTTTCTATGAAATGTCAACTTTATTAATAAGTGCTTTAGACACATAGCAAAGACGTAATGGTAAAAAAAATAGATAAAAGAATCATCTAGTTCAACTTATAGAGGACATAAGATTAGCTACAATATTTTTATTTTAATATATAAATAATCAATTCTTTTACGCTTTGTGCTTTGTCATATATTTATTGCAAAGTAAGTGAATATCTTACTTTATAATCAGTGATGCAACATTGGTTTTTTTTTCTTTGAGTAGCCTTCAATAAATTAGGTAAGAATTTTTCATGTTTCTGAGGTTACCTACTATGAATAAATCTAAATATGATTTTGTCTTTTATAGAAATCTTCAAAAAAATACTATCGTTAACTATCTACAACTGCTACTTGACTGCAACTAACTATTTGAATTTTAGTAGATCTTCAAAAAGCGATCTTATGGCACTTCTGTAAATATGAAACGCATTGTTCTAATTTCGTGCGATACTTTGTTTTTCAAATGATTCATAGACATACTTCAAGGGAATCTGGAAGATATTATTCAATGTGTTTTTATTTTGATTTTTCAACGATAAAAACGGTAAATTTCAATTTTATTTCTACGAAAGATTTATTTCAGAAAAAATTACTCATATATCTTCAAAAGAACGCATAAACAATAATTCAAGGTAATGGCCGGAAGAAGATCGTAGAGTGGAGAATAGAAAGAAGATTATAGAAGGATTAAGAGAATGAACGGCACACAAGGACAAATAGTAAAGAAATAAAGAGTGAAAGATGGAATGAGTAAATGCTAGTAATTTAAAAGCATTTGTAGAATTTAATGAGTTTCATAGATAAAAAAATTATGCTTCTTAAATAGAAAATGAGAATGAATATTTCGGAATGCGAAAATTATACTATTATCCTCTATCAAAGTCAAATATACGTCTTTTTCAGTATATCTATTTTGTTTGATATATAAATGTATTAATTAATAAAAGCTTTTATTTTTATTTTAAATACTTGCAAAAGTAATATACTGAGTTTGTCTTCTCCATATGAATTTTCTTTATTGTGGACAATTAGTATTTCAAAAGTATGTATGGATATATTAATATTTAATAGTATTTTCACGATACAATCGAAAATAAGAACTATTTTTTTTTTGAGAAGAAAACGTCATCATTACATATAAATTCATTGATATAAAAAACTGCAATCTTTTGTTAATGTCTGATATACTTATTACAACACGCCTCGAAATAAGCCACCCGACTCAAACTTTATTGCTGTTTTTCTCAACTGATAACAATCAGGAATCTTTATTACACGAATGTTTTTCGAAGTTTCATTTAGCTGATAAATAAAAGCAGAGCATTTATTCAGTTTGATGACATTCCTTATCTATACACGAAGCTAAATGTACTATCGATTGCATTAGGTCGAATGAGTGTTATTGAAGTCAAACAGTGTTAACTGTGTACTAAAATTAACAGCGTAACTAAATATAGTAACCAATCTGATTCTTTGAAACTGATCAGTGTTAATAAATGATAGTCTTCAAGAAGTTGCGATGCTCACGAATGCATCTTACTCTTTCAGCTCAATAAATAATTCAACTTATTTCTTATGCTGTTTTTTTTCAAGCATTAAAACTGTGTGACTTTATTCAACTTTTGAACACTATGATAATAAACTTTTTACAATTTTCTAGAAAAAGACTGCGATGATTGTGGAGTGTCATCGAGTAGAAATCATCTTTTTATAACATCATTCTGCATTGAGCGATGTTATATTCTAGTAGTTCAATTTTGAGGCCTACTATTTGGTTTTGTCCTGATTCTACAGATTAAAAATTATTGTACACACGGTGTTATGACAAATTTTTGCAAATTTATTTTCAACATTATTTGAAGTAAAAAAAAACGTGAGATCTGAAATATATTATTATGCATTTTTGTCAGTCGCAAGTAAAAATAGGTTTTTTCCTACGGATCATAGAAAAGTAAATTGTGTCGAATACAATTGATGTTCATTACTAGAACAGCATGATTATCATCATTAACGAGCATTTGCATTCATACATAAAGCTTTCGACGCATTAGATTCGGAGTCTTCTATTATATTTTGTCATTCACAAGCTCCAGAAGAATATTTTATTGCGTCACTGAAAAAAAGTCGTACTCTTTGTTAGTCATAATAACAGTTTTTAATGCCATTTCTTTTTTATCCGATTCAGCGTTCATACCTGGATTTGTTTTACTTATTCGATGCTCTTACAATTAAAAAGAAACGGATCACATATTAACACCAAAAAAAAAACCAATAAATCATTGGTAAGACTAGTGTTCTTTCTTGGAATCATACAGTCGATTAGATCTTAAAAGCATTGTGCAATTTATAATAAAATTATTTTTTCTAAAGCATACTATCACTCACTGACAATATTTATCGTTCCATATAGGTAAATACAGATGGAATCCATTCCGACTGTAATATTATATGAGTTAAATTGTAAGTTCTTAGCTTGCATAATTAAATAAGACTATCCACGAAGAAATCGTGTGTAAAAAGAAGAATAATTGATTACGCATTAAAGGTGTTCTTAAAGTCTTTGATGTTTGTATAAGAAAATAGTTAGAGTATCTTTTTACGAGAAGAGATACATTGTCCGAGATAGCAGATGTACTTCATAGAGCATATCTTGATATGTGTCTTCAGGCAAATATTTTTTTTCTAGTTAGAAATATGTTCTTCTATGTCGAAAATATGCACGAATTAGTAGAATATAGTACACAAGCGAACGAAGGCTTTAAATGATAGTCATTGAGATTTTACTGTATATTTTTTTTATTTGAATAAGATCTTTTCATATGCGAAATGTTTAGAGGCAGATCGCATTAGTTACGTCCTGTGTCTATGTAAACGAGTTTCTCATAAAGATAAAAGTCTGAAATATTTCTTCAGAATGTCGTGCAAAAGGCCACTAAAGTGTCATCAAAACACATCTTTTGATAAAGAAACACATTTATAATTAACTATTATTTCTTATTAGTTTTCATTTATGGCTTGTCCGATTCGAAGCAAAATACAAGGTATTAGCATGTATTTGAAAGCTACAAAAAATCAATCAATTGTAGAAATCATTAAAAAAATCGATTGCCAAATGAGGTCTTTTAACCTGTCTTTTGTTAGGTTTATTTAAGGAAGATCTACTGGTTTGTCCAAGACAAGACTAACAATGAGGAAACTTGATTAACACATACAGGATAAGTAAGATTGTGCATAGAAGTTAAATGAACGTTGTTCTAATCGTTAAACTTGCCTTTAATGATTAGTTCTTTTTCTAGTTTTTTTCTTAAGATAGCACGAACTTTTCAAGTATATCTTGATATATACTGATATGATAAACCATTCGGGAGATATGAAACAATCCGTCCATATACCTAAAACTATGTTTGACATATTTGATCAACAAAAATCAATTGTCAATTTTTTACATTAACATCAAATATTCAAATTTTTCTACTCGGCGTTTCTATATATATATATAATATGTCGATTTAATTACACTTTTTCTCGGTGAAGATCGTATACATTCCAATTAGAGTAAAAAGAAAAACAAAACCTCTCAAGAGAATCCTCACATTTCTGAACGTACTTTGAGTATTGGAGTCTGCTTCTGATATAAAAAAAAATAGATTATACACTTTTCTTTTTTTTTCTAAATCATGTTGTTGTGTGGTAAGGAAAAAAAAATGACATCGGTCTCAATTTGATCACTGATTTTTCTGAAAAATATTTCAGTCCAAAAAATAATTAGGTATGCATTTTAGCTGAAGAAGAGCTTTAATTAATTTATAGCACATTGTTTGTAAACCTTTTTGTAAATGAAATATTACTTGAATGAAGCTTTTTAGTTTAACTGTTGCTTAAACAACCATTTTAGACCATCATTGTGTATTACATAGAATTCTCGAATTCATTTCGAAGAAACTTTATATGAAATGTTATCCGCAGCAACGGTTCTCGGCATAATCAATTGGTGTTCAGTTTTCATATGTATTATCATATTTTTATCGATTTTTTTAATGATATACAAATGTCGTCAAGAATTACATGATGCATCTTTAATATTAACATGTAATAGTTGTTTTGCTGCATTATTAACATGTGTTACAATGTTGATAATGACTAGTTCAAACTTATTTACTGGATTTTTAATTTATAATATGAAATTTTGTATGGCATGGGGTTTATTCTATGATATATTTGAATGTGTAATTTATTATAGTTATTGTTTACAAGCATTTTATCGTTTATGTCGTATTGTTTTCTATACAAAGAAATTTCTAACATCCTTTTCTTTACATTTTATATTGATTATTTGTCAATGGTTATTGGTACTCGCTTTTCTTATACCACCAGTTTTTATCAATTGGTATGATCATTTACCAACAGCAAAATATTGTCTTATTCCTTATACATCTGTCATTGCAGAAATCTATCATATTCTTGTTTTATATCTTATTCCATTAATTTGTATTGGAACAATATATATATGGATAACTATTTTTATGCGTCGAACTACTCGACCATCGACACTTATCATTGCAGTTATACGACGACAACGAAATCAAAGAGATTTAACAGTTGTTAAACGTATTATAATGTTGATAGGAGTATTAATTGTATTACGTTTTCCAACAATTATTTTTATGATATATGCAATTATTGTTGGATATACATATCCATTAACATATGGAATAGTTGGCGTTATTACATCAGCATGTTTGATATTTATTGGATTTGCAACAATTTATACAACACCACCATTACGAAAACGAATTCACAATTATTTTGTTCATCGAAATAATCGAATACAAGCTGAACCAATACCAAAAAAGCAAATACATGTTCCAATAACAATGACCGATAATGTCAAGACCGCTCAAAAACCAAACAAAAGATGATTTCATCAGCAAAAAACATTCCATAATCTTGTCTCCTTTGATTGTAAACTTATAGTTTTGTTTTAAAGAGATGAACATTTCTTAACTGTGTTTTGATTAAGTCCAGTTTGTTAGAACGTGTATTATAACTTATTTAATTATTTATTTTTTCTTTTTATGAACGCTTTATATGTTGTATTTCTTTCCTATGCAATGGATCTGTTTTGAACTCAATAAATGATGAAGACATTTGTCATCATTAATCTTTTATCTATTTTTAAATTATTTATTTTTTAAGAATGAAATAAGTTTAATTATTCGACAATAATGTTTGTTCTCATTTATCTCAAAGTTGCATACACTTTCACTTGGTTTTTACTATAAAGTGCCTATAAATCTAAAAAGAGTACTAGTTTATCCAAGAAGACAAATATGGTACTTTTTACACAAAATTGGCCTTAAAAACATTGTGCCTTATTTTCTATGTAGTTTGTTTCCTTTGTATAACTTTTTGGCATCAAAATTTTTAATATCGGAAAAAACGGTCAACTTTTTTTCTAAAAAAAATGAATAGAATTTAATGCTTTCCAAATGCTCATATTTTGTATATAACAGCTTTAGGATGTAGGTGTGGATGCGGGGGTATGGGTGTCAATTATAACAGTGGAACCTACACCCTCGAAAAGTAATGTCTAACAAAAGTTTGTTGTTTAATATTTTATTCTATATGAAGTAGTTGTATTAAAAACAATATCGAAGGATGATTCATTTCTGTATAAAAAACTAGGTCGAGAACAGCATTACTTTCGATTTGTTCGTTCTGTATTTGTCGAAAACATTATATATGCTTCATTTATATCAATGCTGCCGTTGTACTTCCGTTCTATTTTGTATATCAAGCAGCTATCGATAAAAATGACGCAGATTCAAATGACGATAATTGAAAATCTCGAACCAAGTGTTTTAGTGTGGCTTGCTGTTTCTGATGATCGCTTTGACATCAATTACCAAAAAAAATTCCGTAAAACAATCAATTGTCTTGTGACATTTACTGATACTGACGAATGCGAGTCTTATATCAGACAGTCCTGTACCAATAGCACTCAAGTTAAACTCATTATTGACAAGCAATTCATCTATGATTTTCTACAACGAATTCATGATATTCGGCAAATATCATCGATATATATTTTCAGCGAAGATAAAGAAGAATCAGCAATTAAATTTAGCAAGGTTAGTAACACCTTTTATCATTGCACGGACATTTCAAAATAAGAATCAAATAAAACGTTGTCGCGATGCACTAAAAATCATAGGAGTTGCGAAATAATGTGAATTTAGAAATACTCCTTAGTATGGTTGTATAAAAAATATTATAAACTGAAAGAAAAACATATAATTGATAAGTTTCACACCTATCATTCTATTTTATTTTTCGAAGAAACTACGGATATATAAAATATAATGTTTTGTGACAACGCTACGCAGTTTTAGTTATAATTATTAGTTAAAAATTTTTTTTGTTAGATTAAATTATGGACTGATCAGCTGGAGAATGTCGTGCAGGCAATTAATAGCGATCAAACTCGACGTCGATTCAACGTCGAAGATCCAATTATATTCGACATTATCGATGAAAATAAAGATCATTCGTCAACAGATCTCAATGGTGAATTCATGTTTTCTCGATTGTTTATTGACACACTTCTTCGAATGAATTTCAATCAATCGGATAGAAATGAATTTATTGATCTTTGCAAAACACAATATCAGACAAATCCATCTGCGAGTGACATTCTTCACGAGTTTGAACTCGGTTATTCGGCTGATCAAGCTCTTAAATGGTATACAAAAGAAACATTTTTATACCGAATATTGAACAAGGCACTCCGAGTACGAAATATTGATTTGCTCTTTCTTATTCGTTTCTTTATTTGTGATCTACAAGCGCAATTAGTACAGTTGAAAAGTTCGAAACCTTTACGCGTCTTTCGTGCCCAATTAATGTCCTCAGAAGAATTTCAATTATTTCAACAGTCACTTGGACAATACATTTCCATGAATTCATTTATTTCCACCAGTCTCAATCGAGATTTAGCTCTTTTCTATTTGGGCAGTAGTGTACTTGATAATGAAAACACACCAGAACGACTTCTCTTTGAAATTAATGCAGATCCTTCCATTGAGTGTATCAAACCATTTGCTGATATATCAGAATTCAGCAACTATCCAGAAGAAGAAGAAGTTCTGTTTATGCTTGGAAGTGTCTTTCAACTTGACTCAATTGTATTCGATTCGGATAAACAAATTTGGATTATTGGAATGACAATGTGCAGCGACAATGAACATCACGCAAAAGATGTTTATGAAAAGATGAGAAATGAATTGTGTGGTGATGCTAATGAAACACCAAATCTGATTCATCTTGGTAATGTTCTGTATGATATGGGGCAATTTGAAAAGGCTGAAAAATATTTTCGTCGCCTTCTCAACAAACTTCCGAATGAACATCCAGACAAGGCAAATTGTATACATAAACTTGGCCTCGCTGTCAATGCTCAAGGAGATCATCACGGTGGTCTTGAATTACTTCATAAAGGTTTACAAATACGTCTAGAAATCTTACCACCTGGTGATGAACTTCTTGGAAATAGTTACAATAGTATTGGATTAGTTTATGAAGATAAATACGATTATCAATCAGCCGTTGAATGGTATAAAAAAGGATTGGTCATATATAAGGATTTATATGGAGAAGAACATCCAAGAGTTGCTTTGTCGCTCAATAATATTGGCATGATGTATGAGAAACAAGGAAAACATGCACAAGCTCTTGAATGCCATTTCAAAGCACTTGCCATCAAAGAGAAATTTCTTCCAATCGATCATCCTCAAACAGCCAATTCTTTGCATAATATCGGCGAAGTTTATCGAAATCTTGACCAATACGATAAAGCACGAGAATACTTTGACAGAGCTCTCGCTATGTATATCAAAACTCGACCATATCTTCATGCAAATACTGCTTATATCTCAACCAGTATTGGTCTTTTATGCGAAATGAAAAGTGACTTTGACCAAGCACTTATATTTTTAAATAAAGCAGAAGATATTTTTGCGAAGTTGACTTTACCAGCAACGCATCCATATCGTCTCAGAGCAAATCAGGCTATCCGACGCATTGAAGAAACTAAAATATCCAATGAACATGTTCAATAATATCAAAAAACTAAAACTAAAAAATTCTTTAATTACTAGAATTATCTGATTGTATACTTCGGCTAAGAAACTAATCAAGAATACGAATTTATTTAGCTATCACCGGTGACAACTCTTTTTTTTTCAGTTTAAAACTTTCCAACTTAATGTGACGTTTACAACATTTTAATAATTGTGAATAATATATGAATCAATGTTATTGCTAATATCAACGGATATTTTTTTTTCTTCCTATATTTTGAATAGATAAAAAACAACACGTGTCAATTTATTTTTCTTTTCATATGATTTTAAGACTAAGAAGGAAAATGGCTTTATTCATCATCCATGTTCCAGTTAGAAGCTCTAAAAGAGTAGTATTTTTCAAGCATGTGTCCTGATGTTGCTTACGAAAAAATCATCTCAGTTGTTGAAGCCATTTTAACTCCATCGATTGGGTACCGTAGATTGAAGCATAAAAAGGTTGCAAAGAATTTATTCTGTGTAGCCCTTCTTCCTAAGTAACGAAAGCATTACTGAGTTTTTGGGCTACGAACACAATATATTAGGAAAAATTAAGTCAATTAATTTCGATCTAAGGCTCCGCCCGTGAATAATTCGAACAATCCTTCAAGTATCTCCAAAGTATCCATCACAACAGTTCCTGCTTTAGTAAGTAACTTGCCTTTTAGAAGATCTCAATTTTCAACTATTCTTTTGAAACATAAAAGTTAATTGAAAACTTGATTGCTCGCTAAGGAACAATCCGTTTGAATTAAAACTCAATGTATTCAATTTTTCTTGAAATATCGTGCCATTGATTGATAATTCATTAATACATTCATTACTTGTCAACAAAAAATGAAATCAAAATAGTTTAGAAATTGCAGATAGTTTCTTCGTTAGCACAGTGATGTTTCAAAAACTATATCTTCCACAATGATATCAAAACAGAGTATCATTATCAATGCTTGCTGATTTAGTTTTGCTTTAGTCGAATATTGACTTTATACTTTGTTTTTTTAAGTTGGAAAATAACAACTGTCAATAGTTCACATAACGAGTAATTTTTCAATTGTTAGATGTCTGCACAAATAAATGAAGTTAATCATATGTATCTTTTGCAAACGTATCGCTTCTTCCTAGAAAATGAATAAATAGAGAATATGCATGAAAATCAACGTTGTTTCAGTCTCTAATGATAAGTTCAACAGTGTAACAAACACCCTTTGCCTTTGTGAAAGGATAACATGTGGATCTAACTTATTCATTTTAGGATATGGGTATAGGTATGGGTGTGAGTGGATGAGGGTGTGATGTGTTGACCCCCACCCTCACCCACCCACATCCACACCCACACCCTTTTTTCGCTTCACAGATAATCCAAAACAAAGCAGAAGGAGACAATATATATATATGCATCCTGTAATACGTGTAGACTAAGATTTACGATCATATAAATAAATAAGTGAAATAAAGCTTTTGAAGAAAACGTTCTAATGCCGTATATTCCATTAAAGTGAAAATTGGGAATCAGAAAAAATCTAGTTCTATATATTGTGATTTTTTTATAAAAGCAAATGAAATTTTTTTTGAGTGAATGACTCGAGTCACACAGTCGAGTCGACTCTAGTCCGAGTTTTGATCCAGACTCGCCCATTCCCGCTCACTCTCGTCATCGTCAACATTACCGTTGATGCCTGTATTCTGGCTTTCTGGATGACTGCGGTCTGGTATTGGTTCCGCATTGTTGGATGACCAAGTTTCTCCTGATATTTGATATGATGATCTCTCATCTCTCTCAGACATTTGTTCTGAAAAGTCTTCGATTTCAAGAAGATTACTCTTCAAATCCTCTACGTCGTCAGCTCTGAATAATTCAAGTAAGTATCGTTCATATGACACCGGGTCGTTCGGGATCCGTTCCAATCTCTCTTCGTCAGAAAACAGTACTGGTGAATTCGTTCAGATTTTATGGTACATCCTCCATGCACTTACGTCGTATACTTTTCTCGACTTTCATTCTTCCGCATTTCACATGGTTATTCGGAATTTTTCCGTTACTCACTGGCTCACAGCGTAATGATCTGAACCATCTATACTTCATACTCTTAAAAAAAACATACCGTTGTCAATATTGAGAAGATCTACTGTTTTCATCGATATATAAAGAAAAACTCTTCGAAGACGATTATTATAGGTACTGGGAAAAATATTTAAAAGCACTATCAAAACCCAGAGATGGATACCTCTTGTTGGAAAAGTCAGAATTGAACATGTACAGATCGAACTGGCTTGAAGGTACGAAATCAACTCCCTGATCGCACAGATCAAAAAGATTTGTAAAACACTTGGATGTGTTGGGAGAAGTGATAAAATGGATGGTAACTCACGGAACAACGGATTTGATCATTGACTACAATGAGGACGAGCTCTACTGTTTCGCCCTATTTGCAAAGAGTTTTAGACAGTAGTTAATAGTCATGTTAAGGTTAAACTGACAAAAAAAGACAAGGAGAAGCAGAGCAAGAGAGAAAGAGAGAGAGAATAATATATATATTTTGTTATCTTTTTCTTCTTTCTTTCCGTTTTTTTTGTTCTTTCTTAAGAATATCACACTATCGCACTTGCTTCTTCTATTTTCCCCTTCTTATACTTCGATTTTTTTTCTTTTGTTCTTTTCTCTACTTTACTACACGCATTTCATTTTTTTTTTAGTTATGCTTTAACAGGTTCATAACCTTTCAAGCTAAATTATAAATAATAAAGAACGGTTTGGAGGAAAATTTTTTTTAAGTGGGAAAATTAAAGATAATCGGGAGTACCTAAGCACACAAACTTTATAAAAAAAACGCGTTTAAACACACAAAAATTTGCCTAAAATCGGCAAAAAGTGAACGTTTTTGGCTCACACTCACGATTCCCGATCGTGAGCTCAAAACACCCATTTATTATCATTTTTGTGCGTTTCAACGCGTGTACATACACAGAAAGAAGAGAAAAAGTAAACGTAGTTTTTAGATATTAGAACTGCGACTGTAATTATGATCATGCATCTCGAGTACGAGAAAAACGACCAGTTTTTCTCTTCTTTCTATGTGTGTACACGCGTTTTTTTCCAAAAGTTTGTCTGCTTGGATAGCTGGAAGTATTGAAAGCCAGTATCATTGCACGTGCTTCATCAAAAATCAAATTTATGTCTACATTTCTGGTGTATAATAATTCTTTGATTTCAGATTTTTAACTCAAGTAATAAGACGGAAAATTGGTTTCGATTGTCCCCCATGCGATGCGAGTGGCAGAGAACGATTTCAGTCTTTATAAATATTCACCAAAGCGAAGTAGTAATATAAGGTACTTCAGTAATTCATGGTAATATTTATATATATCAAAGGATATTTTAATAAGGAATATAGTACAAGGGATATTTGGTTTATGTCTACGGTCCATATTATGTTGGTTTGTAGATTATGCATATTCGCATCTCCTGGACTATATTTTGCCAATTTATTTAATTGTTTGGTTCTGAATTTTTGTATTACGGAAATAGGAAGAGGAACTAATATTATAATTGTATTCCAAACATCGTTTGATATTTATATAAATTTCATAAACCATATTTACATTGTAAGTTTTAAATTCGCATTACTCTTTTGTCTTTGAAGGTATAAAACTAATAATTATTAATCTTAGTCTCATCACATAGAAGGCAGGTGATGGGAAGTGACGTTTTTACATAAATTTTATGATATTATTCACTTGTCTAGTGTTGAATATTAGTCTGATAGAGTCGAAAGTATATTTCGGTCATCCTTCATGCGATGCGAGTGACGAAAAACAATTCTCGTTGGTTGTCAATTGTATAGACTTGATGTTGATCAAATTGTCTTTCTTATTAAGAAGATATTTATGTTCGGCATTTGTATTGCTTGAATAATGTTGCTTGATGAAAATATACGCTTTTTATATATCTCTTTTATCTCAATCCATAAGATAGATTAGAAAGAATCTTATACTTCTATTCTATGTGTATTGAATTTATAATTAATAAGAAGGCATAGCCCACGTGTATCAAATTAAAGTATATAAACATCACACAGGTAAATCAGGTTGAAATATTATATAAAAAAATCAATAAACATAAGGCACTTGAAACATTATAAATAGCAATCAATAAAGGTGAGACATGTGTTTCTAATTAAATAAATAATAAATATATGGCCCATGTGTTATACATGTCCTATTGCGTGTGCGTGCTTTATCTGATTAACCCACGATAAAAAAGTATCCGTACAAATGTCTGAGACTATTTTGCAGCGAGAATGAATCATAGAAATCGAATTAACATGTCTTCTGATAGAGTGAAATAAGCTCTTTCGAGTGATGTATGACTTGTTCATTCAAAAAGAAAAATAAGATTGGCACAGAAAAAACATGGAAAATTTCTAAAATGAATTGTTGCTGGATGTACCAAAAGTTTTACGACATTTTTCCGCATATGTCTCAGCTTGAGAAAATGATACAATCTTGATCTTTTTCTTAAAAAATGGGCCGCGAAAAGCTCTACAAAAACTGAATACAGAAATCCCTATTAACCGGTTCTCATGGTGTTGTAGGTGTGGATGTGGGGTGTGTATTGAATTTAGAATATCACACCCACATCCATCCCATAATCATACTCACATCCTCGATCACTCTTCATATTTTTCTTCTGAATTATTGTATGTAAGACATTAACTTCAAGTTTATTATGAACAAATCATCAAAAACGTTGGATGATGAAACTATCATCTGTCAAACTGTCTTGGTGCGGTTGTTGTTCTGTAGTGTTGGCGGGAATAAGCTCTCTCTCGCCGTTGTCAGTTACAATATGAAAATCGAAAAATAATTTATTAAACTGCATGATAATTAAAGTATCACAAAGGCATGCAGCCGTAAGTTCGGAAACATCAGTAATATACTCGAATACATGCTTTTTGGAACGAAAATAAAGCCATTCACATGTCACAGATATAGTCACA